AGACTTCGGGCAGACACACAAGATGTGTAGCGAACGCATAATTCCTTGTGCAAAACAGTGACTTGACTCTTCTCTGTTGCGGAACTTAAAGCCCCCACCCAGGAACTTGCGGGTAAATCGGGTCCAGGTTCTCCAGCCCAGGGAGCTGGGGGCTGGCCGGGTCCCGGCTTCCGCCAGGGGCAGGGTCCTTGTTGGCCTGCCCTGGGGGCACGTCTCCGTGAGGCCCAGGTGGCTGGGGTGGGTGGCTTCGGCAAGCGCCCCCCAAACATCCACTCATCCGTCCCTCCAGCTGCTCCTGGGCCAGGGCGCGCCCGGGCAGGCAACCAGGATATTGGGGAGGCCCTCAAAGACCCTTCTGCACCTGCAGGTGCGGGGCTGCCCCTCGCTCTCTCTGGCAGGACGCAAAGCAGCCGTCCAGCCACTGCTACTTACTGACCTCAGGGCGCCCAAGCCATGTGCCTCTGTCCCTTTTTCTTGCAGAGGCTACCCCGCCCAGTGCCTTGGCCGAGACCTGAGAAGGAGCCCCCCTTCCTCTACTCTGTGAGCTTGGAGCTGCTGGGATCTGGGGAAGTGTCTGCAGACCCTGGAGCCAGACTCTGGGCTCCCGTCCCTCTCTCTGCTGTGTGGCCTTGGGCTCTTCACCTGAGGTCTCTGTGTGTCCACTTGCTCGCTGATAATCCACACCTCGCAGGGCTGACGTGGGGCTAATTGAAGTGAAATGTGTGAAACGTAATGGCTGCGGCCAGGAGCCTTACAGAAGGCTGAGCCGCTCTTTGGTCGTCTGTGGGGGGCAGGGCACCAAGGGCTTCCCTGAGGCCGTCTGTCCTCCACAGAGGCCGTCGTTGTCTCTAGGGGTGGGAGGTGGAGGGCACGGGCCACACCCGGGGTTAGGCGCCAGCACAGGAGGAGAATGAGGCAGAACTTTGAAATTTTGGCAAAGATGAAGGTTTTTCTTAATTGATAGAGGCTGGAGGTGGGTTTGTACACGCGGCAGGGAGGGGGCTCAGTCACGCCCCGCGAGTCCTGGGCCCCGAGGGCACACACTTTGACATGCAGGGTGGTCAGGTCAGCCAGGATCTCCTGGAGTTGGAACTAAGCCCCTTGGTCCATTAGTGGGATTAGTGGGGACAGAGGGTGGGGCCAGGGGGTGAAGGAGGGGGGGGGGTCCATGTTGCCTTAGGGTTTTCACCAGCCTCCATCACAGCCCTGGAGGGGCGCAGGCCCACCTTCCCAGCTGCCTGCCTCTGGGGCCCCAGCAAGCGCGCCTTGGGCGGGGGCGGACCCGGCAGTGTCGGCTGGGGGTTCAGGGCCCGGGTTTTACCCACTTGGCCTCCATGCCGCGGGGATGCTGGGGAAAAACGGATTGTTTGGGAAAGAGGGTGCAGGGCCCCTGAATGGGAGGTAAAAGTGCAGGGTGCCGGGCAGGTGCGAGCCAAGGTCATGTTATCCTCGCTCCGAGGGGCTGGTGACCCTCCCTCATCTGAGCTGGGGACGAGGGGGAGGGGGCTTTAGGGAGAGTGTCCCAGGGGGACCCGAGAACACCTTTGTCAGCCTTTGGGATTTTTTAAGTTCGAAAGCCATGACCCGGGTTTAAGACTGAAAGTATGAGAATGAACAGAGGCCAGCGAGGCAGGGGTCTCCTGCGGCTGTCTTGCCGGGGACCCGGTGGGGGGGGTCCCATCCCAGCAGAGCCCCCTTCTTTATACCAAGGATTTGATAAGACCCCTTTCCATCTCCTGAAATGAAGTTATACCTAATAATTTTATACTTAATAACTTAATAACCTGCCTACACACAAAGTTTAAAGGGAATAAACATGCAGACTGCACTAGAAAACACGAGAGGTAAAGGGAAAGTGGTGGTGAGCCACCCAGGCGTCCCTGAGTCAGGATTCTAGACTACGTCTAGTCTCAAACCATTACGGGTGGGTTTGTGGCTGCCCTGAGCGTCCAGCAGGACACTGGGGCGCCCACGGTTCACCCCAGCACCCGCAGACCCCTGCCATGTCAGGCTTATGGCACTAAGAGTCACGCCCACAGATCTCTAAACATCCCCTATGGCCGTGAAGGCCCCAATGAGGACCCCTGGTGGAGAGCAGGGGTCCCTACATCCCGTCACCCCCCCAAGCCTTCAGCCTGTGTCTTAACCACGCCCACCTGCCAAAGACCACAGCAACACACATGCCATCAAGTGGGGTCAATGGATCGTGGCAACAAGGAACACGGCACATTATGGGGCGTCTCAGCAAGAAGGTGTTAGAAAGGATTAACTATGGGACTTGGGCGTGTGTCATGCAAGTTTGAGGGTATTCGAGGAAATAGGGTTTTGCTCAGGAGGTGCTGGCAGGGGGCAGAGGTAGCAGAGAGATTGGGTATCTTAATGAATCTTTTCTTTTTTAAGTTTTTCTTAATTGTTTATTTTTGAGGCAGAGAGAGACAGAGCAAGAGTGGGGGAGGGGCAGAGAGAGAGGGAGACACAGAGTCTGAAACAGGCTCCAGGCTCTTAGCTGTCCACACAGAGCCTGATACAGGGCTCAAACCCACAAACCGCAAGGTTATGAACTGAGCCAAAGTTGGTCACTTAACCAACTGAGCCACCCAGGCGCCCCTTAATAAATCTTTTCTAGAAGGGGAGAAATGGAGACAGGTTGCAGCTGAGATGGGTAGGGAGCTGCAGTACTCACGGTGACCTGCAGAGGGAGCCAGTGGGCCCTGGGGGCGCTGACCAGGTGGATGGATTGAGCAGCTCTGGGGGTCAGAGGTCTGGCCGGCTGCTGGTGCTCAGTGACCTCATTTGTGAGAATATCAGAGCTGCCCATGGGCTCAGGACGGGGCCGGGGAGAGGCACGAAACTGGAGGGTTGCCCTAAAACTCAGCGATCAAGATAAATGATATTTTAGTGGGTTTTTTTTAAGTGGTCTGGGAGGGTCTCCAGATGTCTGTGGTCTTTTTGCCCAGAGGTTTTGTGGGGACAAATGAGCCATGGGTTTTGCTTGTTCATTTAGTTTTTGACACAGGCTGGAGACGAGGAAGAACCTGACCCCATCCACCCAACAACCCACTTTGGTTTCACTGTTGGGCGTCTGCCGGCTTCTCCGCCTGGCTGGTGGGGGGCCGGGGCCGAGCCCACCCTGAAGACTGATCTAAAGACCTTTGAGCCCCAGGATGAAACGATTAAGGATCCCCTCCTCCAGATGGTTCTCCTGAGCAGGGAGGTCACCGGAAGGCGGCCCCCGTGCTGGGTGTGAAGGTTGCTTCCGTGTGTGAGTCTGGTCTGGGGTCTTCCCAAGTTTCCCGGGAAGACACTGGCAACACCGGGGCCCAGAACGCGCAACAAAGGACAGAAGATGATGCCTGGGGGGGGGGGGGTAGAGGGCAGGATCGGGGTGTCCTTCTCAGAAGGAGAGGCGGTGGCTCTGATCTGGCCAGCGAGTGACAATGCGGGGGCAGTGACAGCAATGTCTCTGAGAGGTGACGGCGGCTGAGCTGCTTGCCTGGGCCACAGCTGCCCCCGAGAAGGGCGGGGTGCAGAGGCCTGGGGGCCCGGTGCCTCCGTGGCAGTGGGGGGAGGTGCTGTCCCTGTCACTGACCAGGCCATGACCCTCTCCTCACCGGGCAGGCTGTGCGGCACGGCCAGGTCACCAGGACCATGGCTGTCAGTCATCGCCAGGGCCCGGGGTGACCCCTGAACCCCTCCAGCTAACATCCGGCCTGGGCTCAGAGGCCGGGCTCGGTCTGTGAGGAGAAAGGGGCGCAGGGGCAGAACAGGGGTGTGTCCGGGCGAGTGCAGCCCTGGGCAGCCGTGTCCCCAGGAGAGGAGGCTGCACTTCGCACGTGCCGCTGGGTCTGAGATGTTTCTGGAAGGTTCACGCTCAGGCGTAGCTGCTGGGCTTTACGAGGAACACCCAGAGCTTTGCTTTCAGACGCCTGGGCGTCCTGACGCGGTCCTCTCTCAGCAGAGGCCACTGGGCGGGTCTTTCTAAATCTTTTTCCCCCTGTCCCCTCATCTGTAAGGTGAGGGCGACAGGATCTCCCTTCCAGGGGCAGCGTCGGCTCTGGGGACCTGGCCCCAATGGCCCAGAAACAAACTCGTTTAGTCGGAAACCGGAGTCTCTTTTCCAGTAGGAGGGGGCTCAGACCAGGCGACCCCATCTCCCCGAGCTGCACGCTGGCCCACGGCTGTTCCGCCCCAAGGGGCGGGCGGTGGAATTGTGTCTTGGTGTGAGAGGGAAAGAGTCTCGCTGTGGAAAGAGCACAGGACCTGAATGCGCACGCGTGCGTGCTTGCTTCCCGCCGTGGAAACCTGCCTCCCATCGGCGGGAGCCACGTGTCCCAGGGAGAGAGGGCGCCGATGGGGGCTCTGACCTAGGGGCCGTTAGGACCCCGTGAGGACTTGGATCATTCGCTCGTTCACAGTGCTGCAGCCATTTTCAGAAGAAAATGGTAAAAGTAGGCCACCCGAGGGGTCACAGGCATCAAACCTGACTTGCCAATAAATACGAAAAAGTGCAGGTTTGTGAGATGCCTTTATTGGTTTGCTCTCTTTCCCAAGAAAGACCCTAATGCTCTTTTTTGTTTGTTTGTTTGTTTGTTCGTTTGTTTTGAAACTTATGTTTGAAGTGTCTTTTCTGAGTTTACATGGGGTAGTGGCCGCTGAGAGGGACGCTCTGTGTCCCCGACACGTCAGGGCTTGGTCTGAGGTCTGTGACACCCTCATGTGAGCTGTGCATCTCCTTAGGGGTCATCTTTTGGCCTCGGGGCCTGGGGAGGCGCTGGGCTGGAGACACCCCCCCCCTGCCTCCACCCACTGGCTGGGAGAGGCTGGGAGAGGCAGCCACTTGGCAGAAATAAGACACCAGCACAGAGTCCCGGGAAGGAAGAAGGCCCTCACGCTGGGCACAGGTCCTTTATTTGTTAAGACATCAGGCCCCAGGCATCAGCTTTCGGGGGAAGAGCTTGCCGGGAGCAGGCGGAGAAAAGCAGCCATGAGCGCCGGCCGGTGGCAGAGGACGCAGGCAAGGTGCCCGGAGCCTGGAAGGTCACGTTCCAGGGTGGCCGGGCCGGTGCGCGTCGCTTCAAAATGTGCATTCTGGAAACAAAGCACAGACGCGCATCACCATCACCAGCCTCGGCTCTGCCCACCAGGTGCCCCGCTTCTCAAGGTCAAGACAGCCTCCAAGGTCAGTGCCTTGTGCTGCATTCTCCCCAAGTCCCCAGGAGGTGTTGAGGGTCCAGCGCCCTGGAGAAGAGCCATGTGTCCCACCAGAACCTAGGGCTTCAGGCAGATGATGAATGAGATGGGCCTCATCTCAGGGCCCCTGCCAGCGCCCAAAGGAGAAGTGGTGGCCCCCCTGAGGGGCCCCCAAAAAAGGGAAAGGCCAACAGAGAGGCATTGGGCAACTCCCTCCTGGTCCCAGAGCGGTATGGGGGGGCCTCTGCCCGGATTGGCCGGGAAGGGCAAGGAGGCGCAGGGCGGTGGGCAGGGGCCCCCCTCGATCTGGAAGCTGGAAGCGACAAGCCAGAAGCAGCTGGCAGGCGGCCCCGCCCCTCATCACGTGGGACAGAGGGCGTGTGCTGGTTCCGGGAAGGTGCGCCCGTGCCCTTCTCAGAAGATGAGCTGGCGTTTGGACCGCCGGGTGGTTCATCACAGACCTCACGCCCGAGATTCGAGGTGGGGCCGACGGGGCCGGGCAGCACACCACCCGTGTGCGCGGACGCCCGCTCGCGGCTGCTGCGGGGCTCCCCAGAGCGGCCGTCCTGCACCCCACTGCGCACTGAGGGAGGGAGGCAGGGCTGCATCGCGGCGGGGGGCAGCGGGGAAGGTCGTGGCGCGTGGACCGGCGTGCCCGGCGCTGCCACCCTCTGCTGTCCGCCGAGCGCATGTCATAAATGACGGTGCTTTGTTTGCTGAGTGTGGCCCAACTTCCCAAACCTATGTATTTTCCTCTTCTCTCCAGGGTAGTTTTTAAACTAGTTCCCTGTGCATAGTGCCTTGACTTGGAGCACCTTTTTGAAACAACGGCTTTCACAGTTGGCACGAACCCCTGAGCAAAGGGACAGCAGGGGACAGCCCCCGACAGCTGACCTCCCTGTGCACGATGCCTCTGGCTGAGGCCCCCTCCCCGACGGACGGCCACGGCACTGGCTGTCCCGTCCAGGTGTGCGGGGGCCCCCTGGGGACCTGGAGGCTTCCCGGGGGGTGGGAGGGGGTCCGGGAAGGACGCCGGCCCGCGGGGCCACTTACCTGTGTCTTGCAGAGGCTTGAAGCACCAAGGCACCTCGGGGACGCTAGAGTCGAAGCAGCAGCCCCTGTTGACGCACTGCTCTGAGCTGATATCGGGGTAGCCGCAGTCCACCCTGTTCTGGGCCGGCACCGCACACATGTTCTCCGCTGCGCCAAACAATGCCCGGTCAGCCGCGGAGCCCTCGCCGCGCTGGGTGGAGCCGCCCCAGCTTCTGGGTTTGAAGCATGTGACCCCACGCACCCCAACACGGGCTAGAGGAGGACCTTCCTCCCGTGCACACGTTTGCGCGCTCTGTGCGAGCTCCGCCTCTGCCAGGGCTCCCCCAACTCGTTTGCCCTTGGAACCTTGTCGGGACGTCCGTGGGCCTCGGTTCCCTCCCGCTGCCAGGAACCCGTGGGAATCTGAGGGCTCCCGAGGCCGAAACAGATTCCCCTTCACTCTGTTATCAACAAAAACCGCCCCCTTAAAAAATAAATAGCATAGGAGGAGATACTCGTTCGGTACAGAAAACCACATGTGTGTTATTTTCCATTCCTTTTCTGTGCACTTGGCTGATCCCATCTTCCTGGGACATCCTTCTGTCGTCAGTAATCATTGTTGAAGCAAGCCTATAACGTCTAAAGCTCTGCAAAGTCTGGGGCGCCTGGGGGGCTCAGTCAGTTGGTTAAGTGTCCGACTTCGGCTCAGGTCATGATCCTGCGCTTCGTGGGACCGAGCCCCACGTCGGGCTCTGTGCTGACAGCTCAGAGCCTGGAGCTGCTTCTGATTCTGTGTCTCCCTCTCTCTCTGACCTTCCCCTGCTCGTACTCTGTCTCTCTCTCTCTCAAAAGTAAATAAAACATCAAAAAATAAATTCAAAAATAAATAAACATTAAAAAAACAAAGGTCTGCAAAGTCGGCCTCATTGCCTATCGGGACTTTCCTTACGAAAACGGAGCCACGAGAAGTGTCTGAAATCCCACGCTGTTGCGGCCTCGCTATAATGCTTCACTCCCGTGCTTCCCCAGCTTTGCTCACACCAGGGTCCCAGAGACACTGGCGTGATGGGCACATCCTTGACTGCAGGGGTGGCAGAGCTGTCCGGGAGGCTCTGACGGGCACCACGCCTGGGAACCACTGTCTTCGGCCCCTGATAATGGCTGCACCCTCATTCCTTCAAACCCGAGTGGGTGGGCCAGCCCCCTCCCCCACCTACAGAGCCGGCGCCGCAGCCAAATGAAACCCATGCTTGTGCGTGTGCAAAATGCTCTGCAGGAACCCGTGTCCTCGCTTTCCTCTCTTGAAAGAGTGCCGGAGCGAGCTAGAAGACCGATACTGTTGTTCAGAAACCTGCGGCCAAGAAGGCAGGACCTGGGTTCTAATCCTGGTTCCGCACGAAGTGGGAGGGCTTGCCTGCAGCCAGTCACTAACTTTCTGAGCCTCCGTTTCCTCGTCTGTTAACCAGCGAGACCCAGTTTGTAGGGCTGGCTGTTGACAGGGACCGTGTATGTCTGGTAAATGGCAATTATGAAGCAATGTGGGGGCTTTGCTCACTGTCCTCAAGCCCCCAGAACCCCCACACGCCCCGAGTCTGGCTCTAGCGTCCCCTCTCTTCCCAAGTCCCCCCCCCCCCCACCCGCCCCTCCTGCCTGCAGAGCCAAGCCAGAGCGGTACTCACACAGGCCCACATACTCGTCAGCCAGGCTGGAGGAGCCCCAGGCCAGGAGCACCGCCAGCAGCCAGAGCGCTCTGGCCTCCATGGTCACAGGCCGGCTCTGGGGACCCGACCGCTCAGAGGACGTGCCGCGTCGGCCGAGAAGACTCATTTATAGCCCTGTGTTTGTACAAGGGCTCTGGCGTCTGTTTGTTCGGGGACGGCCCCTTCCTCCGGCTCTGACCGCGCCTGCTTCTCCCCGCACAGGACCGTAAAGCCCGCCTCGCCCGTCTCCTGCGCCGAGAGGCCAGGCCCGCCCACCGAGTGGTGGCAAGCAAGCCGGGGGTCAGGCTCCAGTCTCCGGGTTTGCCGTCCTCCACGGGGAGCAGGGCTTAGCTGGCCTGGAGGCGAGGACGAAGGCTCAGCGCGGGGCTGGACGTCAGCCCAGAACCCCAGGCAGGGGCGCTCCAGAAGCTTCCCTCCTCAGTGACCACAGCGCCCAGGCCACTAATCTCAGACCCTCCGGTGCTTGGAAAGGCAGGTGCCGACCGTGAGTGAGGCACTCTGTGCAACGGGTCTCATTTCTCCTTCGAAATTCTTGAGAATCCCAGCCTTTCTTTTTTATTGTTTAGAGCAAGATTTATTGCTACTGTTAACTACACCCTAATAAATGTATTAAATAGACCAATTCGATATTTTAATAAAATTTAATCAACTGTGTTTTTTAAAAAATTTTTAATGTTTTATTTATTTTTGAGAGAGAGAGAGACAGCATGAGCAGGGGAGGGTCAGAGAGAGAGGGAGACACAGAATCTGAAGCAGCTCCAGGCTCCGAGCTGTCAGCACAGAGCCTGACGTGGGGCTCAAACCCACGAACTGTAAGATCATGACCTGAGCAGAAGTTGAGTGCTTAACCGACTGAGCCACCCAGGAGCCCCTCAACTGTGATATTTTGACAAAAATAGAATACAGGCAGTAAGTTTTAAAAACCAGACAATATAGGGGTGCTTGGGTGGCTCAGTTGGTCAAGCATCAGACTGTTGATCTCGGCTCAGGTCGCGATCTCATGGGTTGTGAGATTGAGCCCAGTGTCAGGCTCTGTGCTGACAGTGCGGAGCCTGCTTGGGATTCTCTCCCTCCCTCTCCCTCTCCCTCTCCCTCTCCCTCTCTCTCTCTCTCTCTCCCCCTCCCCAGCGCTCTCTCTCTCTCTCTCTCTCTCTCTCTCTCAAAATAAAAAAAATAAATTGGGACGACTGGGTGGCTCAGTCGGTTAAGCTTCCAACTTTGGCTCAGATCATGATCTCACAGTTCGTGGGTTCGAGCCCCGCGTCGGGCTCTGTGCTGACAGCTCAGAGCCTGGAGCTGCTTCAGATTCTGTGTCTCCCTCTCTCTCTGACCCTCCCCTGCTCACGCTCTGTCTCTGAAAATAGTAAATAAATATTTTTAAAAATGATCATCACAGAGAGAATCCGTGGGAGGCTTTCCTGGCCAGACCGTGGCCTTCCTGCTGCCCACAACTCCCTCCGCCGGCCGGGGTGAGGAGCTGAGCCGGCTTCCAGGAAAGCGCAAACACCCCAGAAACGGGCTTAAAAGGAACGTCTACCTGAACTGCCCGAGCACCCTGGCCTGCACCTAACTGCACTTAGAGTCGCCAGAGGAGCGGGGTCACATGGGAGCTGGGCCCCCTGCCTCCTCCCAACCCGGGAAGGCCCCTGGGATTGCGGCCGGCACCCAGCACCGCCGCCACCGCCGCAGAAGACCGGCTGGCATTTGCTTCAGTAGAACCCGGCTCATGTGGACGGAGCCTGGGGCTTGGGCTGCCTGCCCTTGTCGCTGCCCTGGCAGAGTCCTCCCGCGGGGAGACGGGGTCACGTTGTAGTCAGGATGCGAGGGTGAGACATTGGCTCCGAGTCACTTTGCCGCGTCTGCCTCTGTGTCCTAGCCTGTCCCGCAGCACCTCGGCCACAGGGCGGCCTGCGTAGGTGACGCAGAGCGGGGCAGGCACCTGGGGGCGTCCAGCAGGGGCGGCGGCGGGGGTCACGGTGGAGACGGCACGGACTTCTCGGAGGACAGCGGCCTTGAGCTGGCGCGTGGGCCCCAGAGCGTTGGGTAAACGTTTGGGGGGGGGGCGGGGGATGTGTCCTGTGTGTTCCTTTCCTCCGTGCTAGTGCACCCTCCACCCTCCACCCTCCACCCTCCACCCAGGGGCAGAGGATGGGCTCCAAAGAGTCCCCCTGCCTTCCCCAGCCTCCCTGTTCTTGGGGGCAAAGTCTGGCTTCTAGGAAGGAATGAGAACCAGGGCCAGAGCTGCAGCCCCACAGCTGGTCGTCACCACACCCTGACAGGTGGCCGCCGCGTGCGGCCCTGAACCAGGTGAGCACTCCCTGGCCCTGCGGGGGTCTCTCTCCCTCCACCTCCTCCGAAGCCGTACCTCCGCCTGCACAGGCCTGGGATCCCTCCCCTACGAATCCCTCCCACCCTGGGCTTTGTGTGCTGCTGTCCCAGGGAAGGTGAGGGGCTCCCGGAAGGGTCCAGAAGCAGGCGGGTCTGGCCCTGAGTCTGGGGCTGCAACCTTCACACCTGCAGAGCGCGTGGCCGTTGGCAGGTATATGTCACGAGCACGGACCAAGCGTGGATCAAGGGCAAGGTGCGAGGCCTGTTGATGCTGGACCCTCGGCCACCAGGCAGCGCCCCTGACCGCAGAGCCCGCAGTCCCGACACGTGAGTGGTGATACGCCGCGGGAGGCTTCTCCCTGGGAGAGCAGCTGAACTGGGCCCTGAGGAGTGACTAGGAGCTCACAGAGGGGTGAGGGTCACCGGGCTGCCGGCTGGCACTGCTGACGCGCACACACAGTCAGCGTGCCCTCCCGGGCTCCCGTGCGCCGCGCGACCTCTCCGCTCACTAGCATCCTCGCTTCTGGTCACTGCAGCCGGCAGAGAGCCAGACGGAGGGAGGACACGGTCCTGTTGATCAGGGCGCCTGCGCCAGCCCCTGGGATCACACACCTCCCCGGGGAGCGTCCTATTCGCCGGCTGTCATACTGTTCTGCAGCTGCCTTGGGTGTGGGCGCCTCCCTCCGCGTCCCGCACAGTTTCCTCCTGCTTCCTGGAGAGGGGCTTCCAGACCCTTCCTGGAGGCTCCTGTCTTTGGCTTGGTTTACGCGCACGTGACAGCCCCCGGGTGTTTAGCCCCAAGTCTACTGCTGGTGGTTTGGCCGCGGCACGCCGAACTCCAGAGCGCCTCTGCACTTGAACTATTGCATCAGCCCCAGTGCTGTCACAACAAGGAAGGTTCCCAGCAATGGGTTAGCCGACGGCCAGGACACCCGAAGGAGCAGAGATAAGTCGGAGATAAACAGAGCTAATAGCGGGGAGCAGATGTGCCCGGGGGCGCCGGGCCCTCGCTGGCAGCCCCGCCCTTCAGACCCGGATGGGCCTTTCTTGAGGCTCTGGCCTGGCTCCAACAGGAAGCCAAGACTCTGGCAGTGCACGGACACTGGCACGCGGACGTGTCCCCGGCTGCCACCTGGCGCACGCCAGCCCTCGGCGCTGCGCTGAGCCGCGTCCCGGGAGACCAGCCGGGGAGGGCGGAAGACGGTCCCCTGCCAGCCTAGCCGGACAAGCCCGGTGCTCTCCGGCTTCAGGCTTCTTCCCTGTGAATCAGGTCATTGTCACTAAGTGACTTCCAAGAGTGCAGGATGGATGGCGTCCTCCCCAAAATCACATCCTTCCCGGAGCCTCCGAGCGTGGCTGGGTTTGGAAGTGGGTTGTTGCAAGTGTAATTATTTAAGCTGAGATGAGGCCAGACCGGAGGAGGGTGACCCTTCATCCAATATGACTGGTGACCCTATGAGAAGAGGAACACAGACAGGCAGGGACACCACATGTGACAACGGAGGCGGGGGCTGAGGTGGCCCAGCGAAGAGCAAGGAATGCCGGGGACTGCCTGCAGCCACCAAGGCTCGGGAGGCAGAAAGGACCCTTCCCCCAGCGTCTTGGCGGGGAGCAAGGCTTGTACAGCCTGGATTGCAGACTTCGGTCCCCAGACGGGGAGGGAATAGACCGCTGTTGCCGGAACCACTGGTGTGATGGCCGCTGCTCTGACAGCCCCGGTGCGCACTGAGGCACGTCTGGCTATGAGATCTACCTTCACTTGAAATTTTCTCACAAGGGGGTTGGGAAGACTTAAAAACCCAGGATAGCTTGCTTCCCAGGGCCCCTCCCCCTTCCCACCCTGACTGGGCTTCCGGTGGGTTCTTCCTGGCGCCTGGTGCCCTTGCACCCCAGGCCCCGTCAGCTGTAGGCCTGTGGCTCCACGCTGCCCCGGCCCACCTTTGCCCTCCCTTTGCACCCTCCATTGCTGGTCTCGGTGAATCAGTGGTCAAATGTAATCAATCACCAGTGTTTGCAGAATCCTTTCCTGCACTCCACACCTCACCCAGATAATCCCCTCGGAGGCTTTTGTTCTAATTTCCTTGTCTCCGGCGGCTAAGGCAGCACCGGCTGGCGGCTGGCTGGGAATTGCAAGACTCCCACATTCTGGTCAAAGCCGGGCCAGCCGCCACCCCCGCCCCTAGGCCAGGGGAGGCCCTTGAGGGAGGTGACTCTGTCATGACTTTTCCAAATTTGGACACTTCTCAGAGCACACAGGGCACTAGCAATGATGCCACGAGAAGAGTGTGAACAGGGATCCCCCTCAGCCCGTGGGGTGAGGGCCACCTGCTGAGAGGGCACCCACCAGCCCCGCCACTGGGTGGCAGTCGTTTTCGAGTCCATGGACTCTGATGGAGCCCAGGTACAGCTACTGTCAAAGCTCTGAAACCACGCAGGCCACGCGATCAACCGCGAGTGTGTCATGCTCCACCGCGCTCTGCCGTCCGGGTTGTGTGCTGATGGGCAACGTGCGCTAAGATATGAGTGTGCGTGTCTGGCCCTTACTGTGCTCAGGCTGCTGTAACAAGCCTAGGCTCAGGGTGGCTTCTTAACCGTGTTTATTTCTCACGGCTCTGGAGCCTCGAAGGCCAGGGTCGTGGTGCCGGCACTTCCTCTGAGGCTCCCTTCTTGGTTGACGGACGGCGCTTTCTTGCTTGCAGATGTTTCCGCCTCACACGGTGGAAGGACAGAGCGGGAGAAA